CTTCCCACACTCAGGCTGTGCTCCTAGAGGCACCACAGTAAAGTGATCCAGGGATACCCTGCTGTAGACTCACCTGGTGGGTCTCCCCAGCAATGGGTCAGGGCATTGCCCAGTGGCAGCCCAGGGGGGAATCAGGTCAGGGTGCTCCAGGTTACTGGGGTTTTCCCCGTTGGCTGTTGTTCTTCTACTCCTTTGTATCGAGGGGGAACAAGCCTTTTATCACACAACCAAACAGAATCTATGTAAGAAATACTTCTGCCATGGTTAAATTTCTCAAATGAGTATTTTTCAATTGTTAGACCTTCCTCTACAGCACAGTTTATCAAAGAAAAAATGGGTACTGCTTTTCCTTTATTATACAGAAATTTGGTCACAATTATGACAATTGTAGAGAGAACATTGATAATCACTACATTTTAGTTCCTAGTGCAATGTAGGTTCTGCAGCAGGTGCATTCTCTTCAAGCCATGAGCCTTAAAGTACCTAAAAAGAAGGATACAATTCATTGTAGAGTCTATATAGCTAAGTGCATCTATAACTATTCACATTCACATGTGAATTTCGTTCTTTAGTAGAACTGTATGAAATTCATAACTTTTCTTTGGAAGATTTTTCCACTGATCTGTCACACTGTTTGGCACTCTAGTCCTCTTTATATGTACTTTATATATATTTCATATGTATTTTATGTTCTTATATATACTTTATATATATTCATCTATATACACATATGGAAAAAATAGCTGGTTTTACACTTATTTTTGTACATTTTTGCAGTAAATTAATTTTGCTTATGTGCTTTTCTAAAAATTTTTAAACTTTTGTTTTTTAAAATATGCAACACTCTAGAGAGTGAGTCAGCTGGAGCTGCAGAAACGATCATGTAATTATGAAATCTCATTGAAACAAGAGCACTCAAGTTGATAATGTGTCCCAGCAAACCTGTTTTTCACTGTGATTGGTTTGCAGTCGTGCTACGAAAATGCTCAGTTTGCATTTCTTATTTTGGCCACTAGATGTCAGGGTGGCAGAACATGGCAGAGCATGGCAGTCACTTTAAATATATTTTGCTTTCAAATTATTATTTGTAAGTCTTGGCATGTCTCCTTTGTATAACATTGCTATCATTTGCTTTATGTAAAGCTTCAGCAACACAATTCTGTTGTGGATCGTGTAGACATCAAGAACAACCACATCCTCTTCTACCTTCAGCAGGTAAGGCTTCTATTTGGTCTTATTAAATTGGAAGTTTAAAACAGATAAAAGAATTATCTAATTAGTAGGTTAGTAACGGCCATGTCTTTAAAATGTAAGGGGACTTCACTCAGTCCAATATAAAATATACAACAGAAGTTGTAGTCTACAGTGAAAAGATATGTAATTGTTATTTTTGTGAAGAATGCTGTATGATTAATTTTCACAAACATAGCTAAGTTGCATTCCAAATTGCAAAATTTCCCAGTCTACATAATATTCTTCATCCTCTAAATGATGTTTCTCATCAGTGTTTTACACTGATGAGAGTAAGAGTGTTTTACAGGGAGACAGTTACATCCCTTTCATTTCAGGGAGATATCTGTATGAAAAGAATATACTACCCACATTGATTACATTAATAAAGGGAATGAGAGTGGAGAAAGATTAAAATCGAAATACAAGGGACCTTAAAGTGCCAAGAAAGGAAGGAGAGAGGAAGAAAAAAAAAAAAAGTAATAATATCTATGCTCTCAAACACAACTTTTTAGTGATTGGCCTCCAAGGATTACTATAAGGAAGATTGGAGTAGGTGTTCTGAATTGACAAAGAATCTCAGATGTTGAGATGTGAAAAGTTTACCCAGTAGGACACAAGTGCTGCAGCAAATTCTCCAGAACCCCTGTCCATGGTTTTATTCCTATAAAGAGACCAGCAGTATGAAAAACAAGGACAAAGGAAAAAGAGAGCAGCGTCACAGTCCCAGGCATGCAAATGAAAACTTGAAGCTGAGGAAGATGAGCAAGGAGGAAAGTTTGAGGCAATTAGCTGCAAGAGTTTGGAATGAGGAACAGAAACACAGGAGAGGATGGGGATTTGAGTTCAATGTGATTAAAGAGAGAAGAGAGTCATAGAGATGCTGAAGGCCATTTTAGCTGGGAAAAGGCAAAGAAAGAAACTAACAGGAGCTTTCAGTGAGAGGATGAATGCTGGTGTGCTGAAAGCTGCAGTACCCAGGCAATGGGTAGAGTAACTGGTAATGTAGATAGGAAGAAGAAGAAAAAACGATCACAATTTTAGCAATAAAACATATTTAGAAACAGCTTTTAAACAATTATCTGATTTGACACCAACTTTACAATCTGGAGAGAATTGTAGAACGGCACTTTGCTGCCCAGTCTGACCGAGAAATGCATCTGTTCAACCTTAGCCTTGAGGATAGGTATGAAAATAAAAGGTTTGATGTGTTTTCTTGTCTTACCATTTCCAGGTCTCCCAGAAGGCGATCAGCTTCTCCTTCAGTGTGGAACAAAGCCTCCCTGTCTCAGATATCAAACCAGTGCCAGTACATATGTATGACTACTATGAAACAGGTAAATGACCTCAGTGGCTTGGAGCAAAACCTGTAAAATCAAAGTATTGATCTCAGCATTTACAAGATGTGGACAATGCTTTTTGCCTTGCTCCCTCTGTGAAGCTTCTCTTGACTTTCCTGCATTTGCTGCCTTTCTGTATCAGGAGAGATAAATGGATAGAAAGCTAGCAGTTTTGCTGGTTTTGATTGCTAGACTGCAAAGGGTTTGCAGAAGCATAGACAGTTTCTGCCTCCATGTCTTGTTTCTTGTTTCATTTCAACATAAAGCAGATTAGATTGTTGTATGACAGGAGTTTCGTTCTTACAAACTGCATACAGAATGAAGAGTGGTTCCACTTTCTTTCTACAATTTGATCATAACAGTTAAAATCCATAGCTCAGAGGCAGCAGTGTTCCTGACTTCCCTGATCTGGCTTATCTTGTATTTTTGCTTTGTATTGCAGTAGCAGGCTGCAGTCAAATAACTGTTCCTTTTTTTGGAATTTAAAGACTTAAATAGGAATGACAGT